ATCGTAATTACGAGGTTAAATTGGTTAATGCGGATAAACCGATACAAACTTACCATGATTTTATTTCCCACTGTGCTAATACGAAGGTTTATTTGAAGCCAAGGATTGAATAGTTAATGGTGTTTTCGATCGTATGTACAGTATAAGTAGCTACCTGTTACTTTATTTTCTTATTTCATTATCATGGTGTTGGGTGTTAGAAAACCATTTACATGTATTAATAAAAAAATCGTAAAGCTCAATTAACTATGTTTGTATCTATATTGCTATTCAAAAATTAACAAGATTTTGAGGTCTCGAGATTATTAAAAAATTCTCGTAATGCTCACTCTTTTTACATGTATTCTATTTTTACCTCTCATCGGAGGTCTCTACCAAAAGCAAGGTGAAATGGAACATCATAGGAAATATGGTGACATATTTGAAGTTGGTTCGACCAAACACTTTTAAGCAAATTGGAACTAATTGAAAAACTTACAATGGAATTTAACAAAATGCAATCTCTTTTTATGAATAAAAGATTAGATTATTATACCAATTCACAAAGAGTTAATGGCAATAATCTATTAATGTCACCACCCAATTTTTGGCGCGAGCTTTTAAAAAAATCGCAAATTTATTTCGCAGAGATGGAAGAACACTGGAAACTACTTGGATACAATAATGCTTTACTTTTATCCACATATGCAAATAAGTTTTCAACAGATTTAATGTATGATTTGAGTGTTGGAAGGCGTTACTATTTTATGCTGACATATTTCAATTCCCTTGCAAATTCAGGAAAAAAGGAAATACCAACAGAAGAATTGGATTTTCGTGATGTTCACATAAAGGAATTTTCAGTTACAGAAGCGTTCATATACTTTTTTACTTCTCCCGAATTGGGTATGTCGATATCTTTTCGCTTACCGTACCCACCCAAGTTATATCAATCTCGTGAAACTTATGAAAAATTTATTCGTCAACCTCTTGATCAACAAACACATAATGGTCACGACTCTAAATTAAAGCCGGCTGCGTTGAATCTACTTCTTGACTTGAAAGTCTGCATTGAATAAAGACAATGGTGGTGATAATTATCGCATGGGTGAAGAAGATATTCGGGACTCATTACAAGAGATTATGAAGATTTCCGAATCTACGGTAATGGTATGACATTTAATTATGTTTCGTTTAATTGACAGATTATCCTGATGGAATCCCGGGCAGTCGGTGTTTTCGGTTACATTATAGAATATATTCTCAGTTAAAAGAGCAAGTTGAAAAAAGAAATTCGAGATCAAAAACTGATATAATAATATTGAAGAACTCGCATAATTTAAATATATCGAAGCGGTTCTAATCCAATACACCTTGTGTTCTAGGATATTCTAAAGAACTAATTGATCTTCATTAACATCAAAGTCTTCCAGAAGGTAATCGACAAATTTTGTCCTTTAATTAAAAATTAGATTGAGAAATCAACAATAAATTCGAGTCTACCAGCGTGACTCAAATTGTATGACATAAAAAATATTAATAATACATACATATATTTAAGATATTGTACAGTATCTTCCAAAATTAAATTAACAATGGAACAAACACTACACCAAGAAATTTTAACTCTAGCTTACCAACTCTCACGAACGCTTCAAACACAGCGATATCAGGGAGCTATCACGATAATCGTCAACCAAGTAAGGATCGGAACAAAATTCAACACACACTTAATGTGAATTGCTTATAAAGCTGTATCGCAAAGCAGCCCGTATTAAAACGAAAGCAAAGCTGCGGCGCAAACAGTTTGTTGACAACTCCGGATACAACCTAAGATACCTTGCTTATTAACTCACCTTTATAACGACTGAGATATTATTTCTTTTTGTCCTCCGTAAGTCCTACTATCATAAATAAAATGAAACCGGGTTCAGCGAGAAAACCAACAACTGCCACATGAGTAGCTTATAAAAACTGTAGTGGAAAGTAGCTTGTACAAATAATTGGCCATCATTTGTTGATGTTGCTGACGACGTTGTTGCTGTTGTCGCTGTTGTTGCTGTTGTTGTCACTGTTGTCGCTGTTGTCGCTGTTGTTGTCACTATTGTTGTTGCTGTTGTTGTTGCAGTTGACAATTGTTATATTTTTGTTGTTATTATTGTTATTGTTGTTATTGTTATTGTTATTGTTATTATTATTATTATTGTTGTTGTTATTGTTGTTGTTGTTGTTGTTATTGTTGTTGTTGTTATTGTTGTTGCAGTTGACAATTATTATATTTTTGTTATTATTATTATTATTATTATTTGTTATTATTATTATTATTATTATTATTATTTATTATTATTATTGTTGTTATTATTATTATTTTTGTTATTATTGTTATTATTATTATTATTGTTATTATTGTTATTTTTGTTATTATTATTATTGTTGTTATTGTTGTTATTGTTATTATTATTATTATTGTTGTTGTTATTGTTATTGTTGTTGTTATTGTTATTGTTGTTGTTATTGTTATTGTTGTTATTGTTGTTATTGTTATTATTGTTGTTATTATTGTTGTTGTTGTTATTATTATTGTTATTATTGTTGTTGTTATTATTGTTGTTGTTATTGTTATTATTGTTGTTGTTGTTGTTATTGTTATTATTGTTGTTGTTGTTATTGTTGTTATTGTTGTTATTGTTGTTGTTGTTGTTGTTGTTGTTGTTGTTGTTATTGTTGTTGCAGTTGACAATTATTATATTTTTATTATTATTATTTGTTATTATTATTGTTGTTATTATTATTATTGTTGTTATTATTGTTATTATTATTATTATTGTTATTATTGTTATTTTTGTTATTATTATTATTGTTGTTATTATTGTTATTATTGTTGTTGTTATTGTTGTTATTGTTATTGTTATTGTTGTTATTGTTATTGTTATTGTTGTTGTTATTGTTGTTATTATTGTTATTATTGTTGTTGTTGTTATTATTGTTGTTATTATTGTTATTGTTGTTATTGTTATTATTGTTATTGTTATTGTTATTGTTGTTGTTATTGTTATTATTATTGTTATTATTGTTGTTGTTGTTATTGTTATTATTGTTATTATTGTTGTTATTGTTGTTATTGTTGTTGTTATTGTTGTTGTTGTTATTGTTGTTGTTATTATTGTTGTTATTATTATTATTATTATTGTTGTTGTTGTTATTGTTATTGTTATTATTGTTATTGTTGTTATTGTTGTTATTATTATTATTTTTGTTATTGTTATTATTGTTGTTATTGTTGTTATTGTTGTTGTTATTGTTGTTGTTATTATTGTTGTTATTATTATTATTATTATTGTTGTTATTGTTATTGTTATTGTTATTGTTGTTATTGTTGTTATTGTTGTTATTATTATTGTTTTTGTTATTGTTATTATTGTTATTGTTGTTATTATTATTATTGTTATTATTATTATTATTATTATTTTTATTATTATTATTATTATTATTATTATTATTATTATTATTGTTATTATTATTATTATTGTTATTATTATTATTGTTATTGTTGTTGTTGTTATTGTTATTATTATTATTATTATTATTGTTGTTATTGTTATTGTTATTGTTATTGTTGTTATTGTTGTTATTGTTGTTATTATT